TGTTTTCTTTTGCATACTTCATATATAATGCATATTAAAAATGCTTTTTACATTCGTGATATAATTAATTATGGCGTATATTTGTAGAAGTGTTAAACCAACAAGCTAATATAAATACTTTGAATTTCCATTTCACGTATCTTCAGTGGAAAAATTTCACACAAAATTGGAAAATTGAGTATGAGAATTTTGCGGACCCAAAGAAAAGCTAAAGATGATTTCTCGAAGAACTCCTATTAAACTAACTACAAAATCCTAATCAAATTTACGAACTTTACTAAAAGTAAGAGAATCATAACGAGACAGTTATCACTTACCAGTCTGTGTGCGCATTCGTGTTGCAGTTATAATTAATCAATCACTCATGATTGTAAGCTGCACGGCTGCTAACAGGGCGCCTCAATGTGCAGTCCTCCACTTGTCATAAATGTAAAGCGCATTGAGATGTTGTATCAATGCGCTATATAAGAATCTCCCATTATTATTATCATCATCATCATCATCATTACTATTACTATTGTTATTATTTATTATTATCATTATTATTATCATCATCATCATCATTATTATTATTGTTATTATTTATTATTATTATTATTATTATCATCATCATCATCATTATTATTATTATGCAGTTTATTAAACATCTGGATGCGCGGCAAAGACACTCATAGGGCGCGTAAACGTAACCTACAGGTGTTCAAACTATTTACAATTAGATATGCTCAACAATAACATATTTACAAATCTTACAATTATTTACAATAGAGTGCACGCACTAAAACCGTGAACATTAAATAGTACTAATTAGTACTATTTCTTACAGAATCCTTTGTTTTCTATTGTTTAATTATCACTATTTAGTGCTAAAAATTAGTATTTGTTTCACGGATTTAGTGTGAGCACTCTATAAGTCAGACGATTTAGTAAATGCAGAACATAAGAAGTACTTTAAAAATAATATAAATCTAAAATTTGTAAAAGAAACAGGTTATATCATACGTAAAATTTATAAATTCTTATACGAATTCAGTTCATATAATGATTTATTTTCTATATGTCCAATATATCATATCCAATATACATATCCTATACATTCTCCTTCGGTCAATGATGTTCTATAGTCATGTTGTATACAAATGTTCGTGTTATGATCTGAAATGTCCTTGCTATGTTTAAAGTTCCTGATAAGACTGCTTTCTGCATATTCCGTAGCACATCTTGGGTCTTTTTTCCCAGTAACTTTTGCAGATCTTCCTCCATACTCCTTGACCATCCTCCTAACACGTCCTTAATGAGATTGTACTGATGTACTTTGTACCCAGGATATTGATCTTGCAATTCCAAACGCAGCGGACCGTACTTTACCGTCATGTCTTCATCTTTCTTTTCTCTATTCTCCATTATTATTATTATTATTATTATTATTATTATTATTATTATTATTATTATTATCAATTGCATATCTTCCAAAATAATACGATACAAACATGATATAACTGGAAGAAAAACAACATGTTAAATTGGGCGAGTAGAAAGCCCATATCACGTGACTTTCGGAGTTTGCTGCTGTTCTGAAGAATCGCAGGCATTTACTTTATTTGGTTGTGTTTGTTTGAGTTGTGTTTCAAAGACTTCTGTTATGGAGAAAGAGATGTTTTCAGCAATACCTCCATTTTCCTACGAAAAAAATGAAATGAGTAGAATAGACCTCCTCGGCTCGAGCGTTTCCCATTTCTGACCACGTGTCATTCCCTTAAGAATAATATTCTTCGTTTGAGTTGTATCTGTATTCATGTGTCTTCTCATGAGCAACCGAGGACAACCGTTAAACAAAGAAATGATACTCTAGGAAATGACATGTGTTCTGAAATGAGAAAACATTACGCCCAAGGTAAAGAGGTCTATTACTCTGTCTTCTGATTTGCAACTGTTAAACAAAGATATGATACTCTAGGGAATGCCACTTGAAATAGGAAAACGTTACGCCTGAGCCTAGGAGGTCTATTTGTGAAGTCGGTTAAAGAGAAATAATGAATATGCTCGAGAACAATTATTTCTGCTTAAATTCATAACGTATTTAAAGGCCATCTGCTCCTTTATCTTTTCTCTGAAGTCCATTCGTACGTTATAAACAACAACGCTCTGTATCAACCCCATGAAGATGAAGATGAAGGTGGCCAAAAGATATTSATCAGCTGCCTTGATGTAACTGACACGAGGCATGTTACTATTGATGTACTGGGACAAGAACACTTCTGTTAACAAGGTAGTGATGCTTAGAGCCATGCGGTCACCRATCTCGTAACGATCCATCCAGAATGGCAACCATGATACGACTGCACACAGAATGCAGGGGAAGAAAAGCTGCATGATGATGTAAAAGTGACGACGAACTTTAAACTTGAAAATGTTTTGTACAATACAATAATCAAAATAACAACAAAATAAAAGTTTCTTTATAAGTTCCAACACAGGTCGTCAGAGCGCATGCTCTATCTCAGAGTCGCTGACTTCATAATGCCGGCTCAACCTTTCTTGTTTACGTCATCTGTTTGCAGAAGTTTCTATGTTGGAATATGAAATAGTATTTGATTCAAGATTCGAAGATATATAACCGTTGGTATGCTTGTTTATCTTATTGACCAATTAATCAGACTTCGTTGCTATGTCGTTCTCAAAAGCCAATGAAATTCGATAGAATATTTCAGGCCTTCCAAGACTCTCCAAATTTCTTGATGAGGAGGCTCTGTGGACGAGAATGCTCAGCAAGGGGTATTGAATCCAGAATCCAATTTATGTTGTGATAGGTTTGTTATGTGGTTACGTGAGATTTAGTCACATTTTGTTGTTAGATACATTTGATCTACAAAACAGCACGAACTGGAACTTTCAAACACCTGTTGGAAGAAATCTGTCAAACCGTTCAAGACCTACGATGAAGAACATTATTATCAAGGTTTGGAATGTCTTATCATTTTCTTATTCTTGAGGATTTTATCATTTATTTTCTCTATCTTTCTTTTTCAGTAAATGTCTTGTTGAATTTACTAATAATTGTCTTAAAGAATTTTAAACGTATTTAAGCTACTTTATCTAACTTTAAAAATCGCTCATGAAAATTTTAGGAAGACAAAAAGCTATAATTACAATTAATTATAATAATAACTATTAGCTATAATCTTATTTCGAGATAGTCTCGAAGTATTCACGGTTCGGATGTCCTCTCTGTAATTTTCTTTCTCAAACAAGTTCCACATAGCCCTAGTGTTTATAATAGAGTATTCTCTCAAAACTCTTCGAAACATTTGATTCTCTGCTAAGCAATATTTGCTTTTTATTAAATTACGTAAACATTGATCGACAACTGAAATGTCTTCAGAGAAAAATTAATCTGCTTCTTTCATTTGCTTGTGAATATCGCTTTTGACAACTTAATAATGGGGATTCAACAAGAATATTTTCAGTCACTTCGAATTCATCCTAAATATCT